ATATATTCTCTCCTCTGGTGTGCAAATAATGTTTTAGATAGTTTGGTAGACTGGAGTCGAATTGAAACATTGGCTACTTTTTCAGCTGCTGCTGTTCACACTGCACTGAGTCAAACCAACCAAATACTTTGAACAACCAGTTCCCCTCCTCACCTGTGGTGGCGCTGCTCCAAGAACCACTGAAGGAAACAACACAAAAAGAAGAGAAATGAAAATGGATTTACATTTCTGTTTTTCTCCTTTTGATTTCAAACGATGGAAACTTTGATTTTTGTCTCAACGAGCTTTGTTGTTAGTGTGACTAACAACAGAGCTAGCATGGTGCGTTCACGGATCGGTAAAATCCAGTGTTTGAGTTTCCAACTGAAACATCAGGGGGAACTTGGAAATTTTGAGATTAAGTTCAGAAGTTTTCTAGGTAAAAAACACAAAAATTTTATGAGTGAATAAAGTAAAAAAAAAAAAATTTTTCAAAAATTTCTGAGTTTCAAAAGTCGAAAATTTTCACTTTAAAACTCAAAAATTCCCAAGTTGTTTTCTGAGAATAATCTAAAAATGTAGTTTTTTTCCGCTCAAATTTTCACCGTTTTGAACTCAGACATTTCTGAGTTTTCTGAGATAAAGCTCAGTATGTAACTTTTATAATATTTTCTGAGATTTGTTGAAACTGTTGCGTTGTGATAGAATGATATGAGAGAGAATCTGCTAAAAATCTACCTCTTCTGTCTTGTCCCACTGCTAATTAGGAACAATCAATCAAAGCCAGAAGGCGAGTGTTAGCTCATCCTCCCCACTGTGGCTACGCTGCATCTAGCATAGCTTTTTGTGAATGCTAAGGCTAGTTAGCGTGGCTGTCAATGACGGCTGTTAAATGGTTTTCTTGTAGGTAAGTTGTTTCACTGCCGGTAGCACATTTAGCAGCTAGTACATGAAGTGACTGACAGCACTAAGACCCTCCTCTTGGCTCTGATTGGTTGTTTTTGGTTGGAGCAGTGGCCACATTGCTATTTCTTCAGATAGCAATAGTAGCTCAGGGGGGAGATGGATCCTTTCACAGATTATGTGTCTCATATTATACTGTCATCATTGTGTGACAGTTTCAACAAATATGGAAAAGTTGTGTACTTCAGCTTTAATCTAACATTTCTTGAGTTTTTTCTAGGAAGTGTACTTTTTCTATCTACCATATTCGCCGTCATAAATGAACTTTGCTATATTTACAATAAATGACTCTCACGTCTGAGAAGTGCTGCTTCTATTTCTATTTTTCTCAGGTTGTGGGGTAGATTTGGTTTTCAAATAAGAGAGACTTACGTGTCGTTCTCTTTAACTATGACACACACTCTGTGGCTCACACCGAAACATGTAAATGTGTGTGTGAATGCTAGTTTTCCCACACGGCCCTGGGGCTGCAGCCAGCAGAGTCGGTGTAATTAGGATTCAGTCAGTAAAGCCCCACTATCATCGTCATGTTTAATTCAGAGTGTGTGTGTTTAGGAGTAAGGAGCTGAAGCGGACGCCAGCAGACGGGGCGGGTTTTATTATTTAAAAAAGAATCAGAGTGAGACCTCTTCTGTTTCTTTCAACCCATCTACCCCGGATTGTTCCTTTTTTTAGCTTCTTTAAGGATTTTAAAATAATACAAACTCAGCTGTTTCTCCGCTGCGGGTTTGATGTGGTACGTTTTGTACCTCGGATGCAAATGTCATTCAAATAATCTGGCAGAAGCAGAGTCCACATGAAACGCCGGGCGCGCGTGTCGCTGTCCCACGCTCCCGGCGTGACGTCAGCAGCACGTCAAAAAGCGTAAAGCTCTGTCTTCCTCGGGTTTTTGTCTTCGGCGGTTCCGGGTTGTTTGTTTTTTTCCCGTTTGTTTCGCCCAAACCTCTGCTCGTTTGTTTCAGCTCTCTCCTCTTCCTCTCTTTTCTTCCTCTCTATCGTTTCCCTCCGTCTCATATCCATGGCGCCTGTCACCATGGCAACGCCAGCGGCGGCCATTCTATCCCGTCATTAGGATTCCAGGATAAGAAGGACTCTCTCTCTCTTTCTCTCTCTCTCCCTCTCTTTGTCTTTCTCTCTCTTTCTCTCTCTCCCTCTCTTTGTCTTTCTCTCTCTCTCTTTCTCTTTCTCTCTGTCTCTCCTTCTCTCTCTCTCTCTTTCTGTCTCTCTCTTTCTCTGTCTCTTTCTGTCTCTCCTTCTCTCTCTCTCTCTCTCTCTCTCTCTCTCTCTCTCTCTTTACTAGACGTGTTTTGACGTCAGTGCGGTTGCTGCAGGTTTCTGTAATTTATCATTTTAAAACGACAAGCGTTTATAATAGAGTAGACAGCTTAGAAATATGACTTACTGTCCCAAAACAAAGCGACAGCTAACAGTTAATTGAGTAATCGAGTATTCTATCGATTAAGATTAAGATTAATTTTAAAAAAATTAATAAAATTTGGCATGTTCTGCAGATTTTTTATTTAACCACTTAAAATTATAGTATGCAGTACAGTTACATAAAAAAAAGAAAAGCCATCCATTCATCCATCCATCCATCCATCCATCCATCCATCCATCCATCCATCCATCCATCCATCCATCCATATTTAATGACTGATTTATTAACATCATATTGTGATAAACACATAGGAAACCTTTGTTATATTTCTAAATGGTCTAAAATGAATTAAAGTGGCCAGTAAACAAACTGTAACCAGTTTTATTTCTCTGCTGCCTGTGACTTGTTGGTGTTGCAGATTAAACCGTCACCAGTTTGTCTTTAAGCTCTTCCTGGTTCCTCTCCTGTGTTTCCCATCAGGACTGACATCCAGTCGGTTTCTCTCCTCAGAATGACTTTCCCACCGTTCATCCTGTCATTCTGACCTTCCTTTTGTCTCCATTGTGACTTTTGCAGACACGCCTAAACCTCCAACTTTTTCAGTCTGCCATTAAACGCACCAACAATGAATGGTGGTTGTGTGTGTTGGGAGTGGACCGTCTGATTGGTTTGGATCTCCACCCTGCCGGTGTCGCCTTACACACCTGGTTCACCTGCAGGAACGCTCTCAGAAATCCACCTGCTTTTTATTCTGGCTCTTATCAGGGATAATCCAACGCTGGAGCCAGGCACACACTCACTCACAGGAGGCTAAAGGGCGAACTATTATCTCCCTGAGTCACACCGACAGAGTAAACACACTTCCAGCAGCGTCCGCCTACGTTGGTTTGATAGAAACGAATCTGAGATTTAAAATCACATGAAACAGAAACATTTACACTGAACTGGAATATTGACTCCATTTGGTGGTCAGAAGTTTCAGCTGTTTGTTTGATCCGCTCCTCCACCAGGGTGGAGTCGTTCAGTCACCTCAGTGGTTTTATAAACAAAACAAACTAAAAACTGGCTGTGTGTTTGAGTTTGTGATGCATTTTGAGATGAAGGAAACTTTGAGCTCCAAAAATAAGAAATCTGCAAGAAAAAAATTCTGAAATTTTTGGATTTCTAGAAAACATATGGTAATTTCTGAGCTACCATAGTTGAAAAGTTGAGGAAAAAAATAAATTTTGAGATTAATTTCAGAAATTTTCTAGAAAAAACAAGCAGATTTTTGAGCGCGTTGCCTGTTGCTCAGGTTGACGCTGCGCCGCTGCAGCATGCAGCTTTGCCTTGAGGCTGTGATGCAGCTGACGCTCTGCAGCCTGATCATCATGGTCTAATATTATCTGCCTGCTGGAGATTAGCTCTAATCAGGCACCTGCTCAGCCTGGACGCTCTGCTGGTGGAAACGGATCCAGAGATTCGGTTTAACTCTGAGAAATCTGCAGCTGCAGCGCCTTCAATGCGCTGCGGCGGTTTGACTGTGGCGCAGCTTCAGTGAGGTTGTTAAACTTCAGGCGCAGTCGGAGCTCTGTGCAGGAAGCACGCTCCACCAAACGGGGACATTCATGCCGCTTGGCCTGGAAAGAAATTCCTGGCAGCCGCTCATCAGGACACTGATGGAGACATAATCTCCTCCACAGCTTTCACTCCGTCTTTCTGTCCTCTGTCTGCGCTTTTTCATTTCAACTGGGGAAAACTAAAGGAAGCTAAAGATTTTTAGATGATGTGAAGTTCTAGTGTGAAAAAGATCCTATGAAATACAAACTCTGGTAAAGATGGAGAAATATTAAGAAAACTAGAGGTGAACCAACTGCAGTTTCTCCAAAATGCCTGATGCCATTTTTTCCTTTTGTCTGAGCAGCTGCTGAATATATTCCAGAGGTAAATGAGATCATTTTTTCATGTAAATGTCAATCGATCACAAATCTCTTATAATTAAGAAATTGTGAACCTATTTATTGGTGCAACCATACAAAAGTACAGTAGCTATGGAAGAGGATTAGTGCCACTGGAAAAAAAGGATTCTGCGAAACAAGCACTTTTTTTTCGCAGAATTTTTACTGTTTTTCGCAGAATTCAGACTTTTTCCTCAAGATTCTTTATCTTAGAATTCTGACTTTTTCTTCACTGAATTTTGAACTTTTTTTCCACAGATTGACTTTTTTTTTTGCAGAATTCTGACTTTTTTCTGATTTCTGACGTTAATCTCTCCATTTTGATTTATATTTACCCAAAATTCTGCCTTTAAAAAAAATTCTCTCAATTATGGAAATTAATGCAAAATCAACAGATCCCCGCATTTTTTCACGTTAGCGCATAATTGTACATTTATTTTTAAATGTATTTCTTTACCACTAACTTGGTCTTGAGGCTTTTTGCTCAGCACCACCTACAGGTCTGGAGGAGTAACAGCAGCATTTTTGTGGCTGTTGTCAGTATCTCTGTGTGTCAGATTGTTGTTCTCAACCAAATCTTTGCAGTAGTTCAGCCTAAAGTTGTGCATTAAAGCTTCACCCTGCAGTGCATTGTGGGTTTTCTGGTAAATATAAAACGAAGGCCGTCCCTGATGCCGCGGCTTCCTGTTTCTGCACCGTGTGGTGAACCAGAATGACAGCGTTCCTAAATCTGCTGCTGGACCTTTTTTTTCCTCCACTTCATTTGCCCTCAGGAAAGAGGACAAACCACTCCTGCCTTGGTTGCAGCGGCTTTCAGCATCAAAACAAATATCTGGACCTCGTGAAGAGTTAAAAATCCCGTCTTTGTTTTGGCGCACTGACTTGGAGGCAGAGCAGCGAGGGCAGAGCAAAAGAAAAGTGAAAGACTGTGAAAGAGGAAGCGAGTCCAGCCTGATTTATTGATGGGGCCTCGGCTTTGGCAGCCAGAGACGGAGCAACAATGCCGCTCTAGCAGAGAAAGTCTTTGTTTCCTCAAGTGGCTGAAATGAGTCAATATCCTGGAAGCTGACACATTTTACAAAGTTTTTTCAAAGGGAATTTTGAATAATTTGTGACTTTTGTCACTTTGAGCACATAGAATATAAATATCTGGATTTTATTGTCATTTTAATTGGTAGACCAGCACAAAGCAGCAGAATACTCTAATTGGGTGGAAAAAATCTATAATAACTATATTTGTTGCCAGTTGCTAACACGTAAATGCGCTCATATCAGTCAGATTGAATGATTATACATGATGCCATATGGAGCTGTTGGATGTTATTGTTTACATCCAGAAATTTGGGTCATGTTCTCAACACTGGAGGGCAAAAGGACGATTATTTTACCTGCTACCCATCGCTGCGCTGCTGCTGTACGACTGTTAACTAAATAAAACCTGGAGATGTTGGTGTTTTTCATTTAGTGCAGTGCGCCACCGCAAACGAAACTTTCTGTGTCAACTTCCAGATAAGGCAGAAAAACCATAAAAGAGCAACTCAAAACCACTTTTTTCTCTCTCTTTGTCAGCTACGCTACACACAAACTTGTTGCCATAGAAACTGAAAACAACAGCCCATTTTATGTTTCAGGATTCAACACCAAGAAACACTCAAACGTTTCCCACACAGAGAACAGAACATTCAGTCCGTTACAGTTTTATGTTTTCAGGCTTGATGTTTATTTTGCGATTAATAATAAGTGATCGCTGTGGTGGATTAGCTACCCCTGCTATTAGCAGAGCTAACACTGAGGTGGTTGATTAGCTAATATAAACACCTGCTCTACTGATGATGTCAGAGTTGGTGTTCAGGTCAGTTTTTACATTTTTTTTAACTGAACTGAGAGACACTGAATTCCACAGCCCATCTACATGTTATGGTTGTCATAGTCAAGCTAGCATAGCTGACCTACTTCCCTCTCCCTTGGTATTTTTTTCTTAATTTAAACTTTTTCCTGACCTTGTTATCTAGTTATCATAGTAGCAAAGCACTGCATCTCAATTTCTTTCTTATTTCAGGTGTACATATAAGACTTAGCGCTTTATATTGACAACTTAACAGCTAAAACCAATGATGGTTTGTTTGAAGCTTTTTGCCCTCCAGCGGGAGACAGCGGTGGAATTTTGCCTATGACATCATCCATATATACACTCAAATCAATGATTACTCATTTAATTAACAATTACTCAGATAATTGCTAACTCTTGTTAACACGTAGCATGTAGGACAGAAAGTTCAGTTTTGTTTTGCACTGGATTTTATTAAGGAGTGTCCTAGGAAAGTACAAATGCATGCCACACTTTTCAGATTTTTTATTTGATTCGACTCAGCATTTTTCTTCCGTCTTACAATTACTCCCAGGATGTGAAATATGACAAAGTTATTAACCAGGTTAATCATGATAAATGAAGCTACTTTGACCATTTAGCTCCTTCGGTATCAAATGTAGGTCAGGCTGCAGGTGATGCGGCCTCATCTTCTCCTGAATGACCTTTGCACCTTGGCACGCCTGCACAGGCTTTACGGGATTATAAATATGTGGAGCGGCTCCTCTGATTGGTCAGCTTTCTGGCCCGATAATCTTAACACCTGAGCTAATTCCCTTGTGTTTTTAGAACAGGAAACGTATCTGTGGACACCGCAGAGCAAAGGTTCGATCTCCATGGCAACAGCAGAGGAAGAAATAAAAGCGTTTCGCGTTTGTGACGCCTACAAGCGGTCAGAACATGTTGAAAGTGGCTTTTTATAAACTATGAGGGGCTTTTTGAGTCGACTTGAGCTATAACCGCCCGCTAAAGAGGAACTGCGCTCTTCACTGGTTAAAAATGGATCTTGGTGTAAATGTTTTTTTCTTTTTTTGTGGTTGTGATTATGAAGCAGAAAAACTCTTAACTCACTTAAAGAGACATTCAGGCTCAGAAACACGGGGGATAAACTGGAGTTTGGTTTCAGCAACATTCAGTTGCGCTCCTTTTATTTTATAGTCGTTATAAAATGTTTTCTGATTTCCTATCTGCAATTTCCTGTCGAGCTTTGACCGGACCGTTCTGATTTTAGAGGCCCGAGTCAGTGATAGACGAGGAAGGAAACAAAATGACTGCAAACAACTTTATGATATGGATGGATGGATGGATGATGGATGGATGATGGATGGATGGATGGATGGATGGATGGATGGATGGATGGATTGATGGATGGATCCACTTTCAGATAATGCAACAATAAATTACATTTTGAACTGTAAATGAATAAAAAAATATTTTTTTTTTTATTCTTGGAGTTTTTTAAAGCAAATTCTCAAATTTTGAAACTCTGAAATTTCCACAATTTTTCCTGGAAAATTTCTAAGGCGAATCTCAAAATTTCTGACTTTTGTTTGGCGGAAATCTACAACTTTGTCTTTTTCTTTTTTCCAAAGCAGAGTTTGATACTTCGAGTCTTTTCACTTTATGACTTGACAGGCTGTCACTTCCTTATTGCTGCATGATTACTCAGTCTCTATCATCTGCTGACGCTGCAGAACCACCGGTCGGTCCCTTCCCACCGGCGCTGGCTGCCTCGGTATCCGCAGGTTGGCGTCGCTTCAGCGGGCCAGGTGGCTTCGTTGCGGGAGCTCCGTGTCTGGGCCCGCTTGTCTCCAGGCTGGGGCCGTAAGAAGCGTCTGTTTGGCAGGTCTCGGCCGCTGATTCAGGCGAGACGAGCCGTGTAATCCGGCCTGAACGACAGCTCCTCCAGACAGAGATCTCAGTGGGTTAAACACGCCGTCTGTTGTCTCTGGGAAAGTCTTGAGTTGGCCATCCATTTTTTAAAATGGCGTCGAAGCACGAAGACTTTTAAAGCGATGTTAAAGATTTTGTTTAAGACTTTAACTGCCCATTTTCACCTATTTAAAATCTCAACGATAATTGTAAAGGTAAAGTTGGTATTTACTCGGGTGGTTAAGGTCCTGACATTTTATTTTGGGAATGTTCTTGTTCAGGTAGCTATGGTAACGGAATGCTAGCCCTGAGAAGGCTAACCGCGACTGTTAGCAGCGGAACAGGAAAAGGCTAAAAAGCAGCTCAATATTAACTTAAATTGCTGTTACCGACCTTGTTTTATTGACTGAAGCTAAAATGGAGCTGCTTTTTAAATGTAATTACTATTTATTTACTTAAAGCAAGTGGAATATTACTTAAAAGTACTCAACCTGGATGTGATTCTCTATTAGCTCTGGTTCTGAATACTGTACAGCTGGAAGGATTTTTGGTCTTTTTTCTACTTTATGACACCAAGATGCATAACCGTAACAAAGTGTGTTTTTACAACTGGTAGCATCTAGTTAGCATCTCAAAAGTTGGAATAATACTTGAACCACAGAGGAGTTGAAAAGGATGTAGAGATCTATTCCCGACTTCATAGTCTAACTGTACAGCCAAACAGATTAAAAGAGAAACAGCAAAAGCAAAGGAAGTGGATTAGCATTGCTATGCTAGCAACTCATGTTGTTATCCAGGATAGTCGCTAATGTCTCTGCTGCCTGGTTATTGAGCTATGAATCATTTAATTTCACTGTAGGATAAACAAAATATTGTTGAATTGAAAAATGTAAATTCATGAGCAGGAAGTGGGGTAAAAATGGACACCGAAGCTGGTTTCAAAACCAGTTTAAGACTTTACTTTTGTAGAGTCCCATAATGACCACAACTGGTTTAAAATAAAAGGTGCTATTGATACATACAGGCCACATGCGAGCTAAGCTGTTTCACTTCCTGCTCTTGTACTGCCATGGCAACCAGAAATAAAACAATGCAAACATAGAGAGCAGTGGGTTAAACTGGGGCTGCCCAACTCTATCCCTGATCTAAATCTGTCCTAATCTGCATCACACGGCAACAAACCAACAATAACGTCAACACCTTCGACTCTTTGACACCATTCAGAGTCAAAACGCATAATCTGTCACTGAAAAGTATTTTATTTTACAGTTTATTTCTTTAAAATGTTGTTTTCCATCTTAAGCATCTAACTTGGTTCCCACATCCAGAGTTTTATTTGCTTTAAATGTTTTAATTATCGCTTTGTTTAAGTTTAAGCTAGTAGTTATTGTTGATATGCCTTAATTAGATAGCAGGTTATCTTTCCCATTTTGAAGAGATGGGCCTCTGTGTCGCATCATGTTTAAACTCCAGGAAAACAGGAGGTCATTAATTACTAATAAAGAGTTCCTACTATCAGCTTAGAAATATACAAGTAAAGTAATGGAATAAATAAAAATAAAAACAATAACTATAAAAATATGGAAGTAAAAATGTGACAAAAATAGACTAAAAATAAAGATATAAAGATATAAAAATGGTTCAGTCACATAAAAAGTATGGTAGTAAAATAAATGCAATAGTAAAAAATCTAAAATGTAATGAAAATTAAAAAAAAAAGATTCAGTCAAATAAAAGTATAGTAATAATGATGCAACAATAATAAAGATAAAATGTATGAATTAAAGAAAATGATTTATTTACATTTGATTAATGGCAGTTGTTGTTGATCTGTGTCCCGGAAGCCGTCAACACGACACAGAACATTTTTTACTTTTGTTGATAAGGTTTATGACGGACATAAAGAAATAAAGCTTATATTTTCCTGCGTCTCTTCGCAGCTGAAGATCTCGTTCAACGAGTCGAGCCTCCAGAGCACCTACGAGTATCCGTCAGAGAGCAGCGTGTGGGACAGCGGCGAGGAGGACGAGGACGACAAGCGGGACGGGACGCCAGCGGACGAGCAGCCCAGCATGGTGGGACGTTTCCACATCCCTCGACCCGGCCTGGTCGGCTCGCCGGTCCACTCCGAAAACGGAAACGGTGAGACCCGACATGAAAGCAAAACAAAACCAAACTGTAAAACCAAACCAACAGAACAATTCAGACCTAGTCAAAGTCCAGACTTACTTTCTGTAGCTAGATTTGAAAATAGATGCTCACAGACACCTTCTGTCCATTCTAACTGAACATGAACTAAAACATAATAAGCACTCCACACTTTTCAGATTACCAGTTGTACGAAAACATTAACAATCAGGCATCCTCCTCCTTCCATTGGATAATTCTGAATTTCTTTGTTTGTCACCTACAGTCCATATAAAATATATATTTAAGTCTTTAGTTGCTTGTCAAAATTTTTAAAAAAATCAAGTTTCACCAATTCTTCTGCAGGGAATCGAATGAAAACAATGAGACAGTAGTGAGGTGTGCGGAAACAGGGGGATCAGTTCTATACACTTTATTATTTGAAGTGGTGACACTTAATAAAATACAATTTCTAAATAGTTTTATCTCCATGAGGTGGAATTTTCTCCTTTTTACCAATTTTCTTATAAAAAGAAACCTTTTGTTGTTTGGTAAAATGGGAATTTCTCACACAAAGTGTTAAGAATATGAACAATCCTGAGCTAAAAACTATCTTACGTTATATATAAAGATTTTAGGTTGCATTTTATGTAGAAAAGTTAAAGAAAATATGCAGTAAAACCTGAAATCAAACCAGATCTGATTTATTAGTTGGATCCCAGAGCCCCCTACTGGAGAAAACCTGTAACTACATTTGGTTTTAGTTCAGCAAGCAATTTTTTTTTCATTATTATGTGGATAACAACACTACAGAATAAATGTTGAATAAATTAAATAATAATGTGTTTTCCTAATTGTTTTCAGACCTTTCCAGCTACATTCCCAAGCACTCTGTGGACTTTAACACCTGGCAGGAAAACAAACAAGAAGACAAAGTTTACCAGGAAGAACCCACTTCGCCGCAGGTCACAGAGGAGGTCATGGTAAGAGCCAAGAAACGCTGAAAGGAAAACTGTTTGGATCTGAGATGTTTTCCAGCCTCACATATTGTTTTTTTTTTTGTTAATAATGATGGTGAATAAGTTTAAAATGTCAAAATACTATGGTGGAAATAGAATAAGATCTTAATCAATCATTTTAAACATTTTTCCACCTTATATGCAACAAAATCTTGAAACTAGATGCTTGTATAGCAGTGATTTTGATGTAGGATTGAACTGATTCGTCAAATTAATCGTGATTAATCAATTATTGAAGTAGCTGTCCACTAATTTAGTAACTGATTAATCGTTAACTGGAGTATACAGACTCAAAAAAGTCAATTTGGTGAAACAAAACAACTTATTGAGAGATGTAATTAAGGTAAAGCTTTAATAAAATATGTAGATTTTGCATTTATGATGATATTTGACCCAAGTTATCAAAATAAGAAATAAACAATTAATCGATTAATTTGATTTTTTTAATGCTACACATTTTCATTTAACCGCTTAAACCTTTGTTATATTAAAAATTCATGAGAATTGAACAATTCAGTTTCTTCTCAAAATAAGAAAATAAACATTTTATTGCCTTAAATGCAAAACCGAAGCATTCATGTGGTAAATTTGAACAAAATGTTTACGTATTTGTATAGTTTTGGCTTAATTACTGCTTTGAATATGTTGTTTTTTCACCAAGTGATCATTTTTGAGTCTGTATACTACAGTTAGCGATTAATCGATTCCAGTTAGCGATTATTCTATTAATAAGTTAATAGACGATTATTTAAGTTAATAGATGATTATTTCAATTATCGATTAATCACAATTAATTTCCTACTCTAAGTGAAATTTTGAGCAAATTCTAGTGAGTTCTGACCTAAAATCTCTGGTTTTATCCAATAAACATGAGGAGAAGTTGAGTCCAGCTGTGACCTTTGACCTCATGTAACGGTGTTTAACGTCGTTTTGTGTCCAGCTGACTCCGGCAGACAGCTCCTCCCTGTCCGACTACAGCAGCGAACCGGCGCTTTACTTCTGACGGCCGGACGGCAGCATCTCCGACCGCAGCTCACGGCGGCGCTCCGACCCCGCCGACCTCCTGCCACAGGCCTCCTGCCGCAGAGGTTTCCCAGAGCGACAAATGGGAATGAAAAAGGAAAAAACAAAAACATAGAAGCAGCTGGGCTGTGTTTCCCCCTCCGATGGAGGACAGTTGATCTGTCCGACACTTTCGCTCGTTGGTGACGGAGTTCAGTGTTAGGACTTTCTCTGCTTCTGTGCAGATTATAAATAGCAGACAGAAAAACAACAAAACATGAAGGTAAAAGGGTGCCACAACTATTTTCTTTTCCAGTTTTTGTACGTGCATGTTTGATTTCAGCTTCTGTTTTACTGTAAAGCTTCTCTTGGCCTTTCTTTAGTTTCAGGTTTTCATGCTGTATTAAACTTTCTGGATGTTTTTCTGAGGTGTTTAAAAAAAACTTCCCTCCTTCGTTTGGAAGGAGGTGAAGAAGAACGACGGCGTGTTGGGGCCGTTGCAGACGGAAAGAAAAAATTACACCAAAAACTCAGAAATTTTGAGATTTACCTAATCTCTGAAATTTTCTAGAAAAAACCTGGAAATTTCTGAGCTTGAAAAGTTGAAAATTGCTAGAAAAAAATGAGAAATTTAGATATTCAGAAATCTTTTGGAAGGAAAATCTTGGAAATTTTGGACTGTCAAAAAGTAGAAAAATTGCTGGTGAAATTTTCATAAAGTTGAAAATTTGCTAGACAAAATTCCTATATTTTGAGATTAATCTCAGAAACTGTCTAGAAAAAACATTGCACATTTCTGAGCTTGAAAAGTCATAAGTTTGCTAGAATAAACCTGATAAATTTTAGGATTAATTAATTACATTTTCTAGAAAAAAGAACTTGGAATTTTCTCACTTTTGAAAAGTAGAAAAATTGCTAGAAAAAAAGTCAAATTTTGAGTTTTATCTTAGAAATTTACATACAAACATTTGGAAATTTCTGAGTTTATAAGTTAAAAATTTGTTAGAAAAAACTCCAAAGTTTTGAGAATCAAAATCAGAAATGTTCTAAAAAAAAAATAAAAAGACATGGGAAATTTCTAACCTTCAAAAGTGAAATAAAATTACTAGAAAAAATCTCCTAAACTTTGAAATTAAAAATAGAAAAAAACTCAGATATTTGACTTTCACAAAGTAGAAAATTTCCTAGAACAAAACTAGAAATGTTTAGTTTAATTTTACAAATTTACTAAAAGAAAAAAATCTGAGTTTCTAAAGCTGAAAACTTGTTAGAAATAACTTATGTTTTGAGATTATTGCCAGAAATTTTCTTGAAAAAAGTCTTGGAAATTTCTGAGCTTCAAAAGTGACAAAAATTGCTAAAAAAAAAAAAAACCCCCCCTAAATTTTGAAATTAAACTCAAAAGTTTTCCAGAAGAAAACTTGAAAATTATGGAGCTCAAAAAGTAAAACATTTGCTTTAAGAAACTTGAAACTAAGTTTCAAAAATCGAAAATTTTCAACTTTTTAAAAAAGAATTTTCTGTTTTTTTCTTAAATTTTTGAGCTTAATCTAAAATTATCTGAATATTTTAGTGGAATTTTTTTCAATTTTTTTTACATCGGCCTGATTTGCCGCCGTAAAGCAGACACCTGTTGATCAGTAGCAGCTTTTATTCCGTATCGAATGCTCTGGAAAAAAGTGACCTTCGCCAATTATATTAATAATGATAATATGTCTGTATGTCCAAACGGTCCAAACAAATCATGGCTCTGCAGAATGTGTTTATGTGAACTCTTCTAAATGTTGCAATTCGACGTTTTTTTCCAACTTCGTTTCTGTGAGGTTTTCGTTTGCATGTGAAGGAAACCAGGAGGAAAAACTTCTTACTTGATTTTTTAAAAGTCAGACCTCGAATACTTTGACATTCCGGTTGTTTGAAGGATAAATCATGAAACGTTGGCCGGAACTAGGCATGGGTTGGTATTTGCAAAATCAATTAAAAGTTAAAATGTAGAATATAATCTAATTGTCACATATTGATTATTACAGCCATTGGCGGTTCTAGATGGGGGCCAGCAGGGGACATGGCCCCTGTACTAAATAAATAATATATAATCAGTTTCTCATGATGACATAGAAACTGTAATTAATTCATTGTTAGACCAATTTAATTTCCTGCTTTCACAATTTTCACAACATCTTTGTTTTGCACCAATCAGAATCCAGACAAGAACTTTTTCTCTTGCATCTCATTTTGATATTTCAGTAAAAGTAGCTAAAAAAAACTAAAAAAAAAACTACTGGGACTGAGGATAGACCCCTGAGGAACCCCACATGTAAAGGGAGAAAAAGACCAAAAATGGCTGAGTTATTAATTTAAAGTAACTTTAACAGCGAGGGGTTAAAATGTCTGCTTTATTTTTTCCTATCGTCTCTGTTAATCAGTACAAGTTTGAGTAGTTTAAAAACAACTGATGGGCCAAGAATGGAGCCCTGAGGAACCCAAAAGTGATTGAAAACTGTCTTTAATAAGGGAAAAAAAGAGATTTTCTATAATTGATGTTCTGATCTGGCTGATCTAACGAGGCATCAAAATAAAGTTCAACTCTAAACGTTTGGTAGACCTTCACGTTCCTCTGCCAGCCCATGCCTAGTGCGAACAAAAGGATTGAGAAATCGGCTTTGTTTATGCTTGAATTGAATTTTTTTTAAGATTTTGTTTTTATACGAGATGATTATGTTTTTCTTGACCTCATTATTGCGCCAACTGATTAAAATATTGCTGTGCTGGCCTCACACTCGTCCCTCCACCAGTATTCCCAAACTATTCCTCCACAATCACCTGGATTATTTCCATTCCTGGAAGCTGGATTATCGTTTTTTTTAATTCCTGGAGTCTTTGATGCTGAATGTCTTTGCACTGTCATTCTTTTGTTTTTACGCTGCATTTTGCACCTGATGAGTCATAAAAACAAGCGATGGAGGAAATTCGCAGAGCAGGAAGCCGAACTGGAGGGTTGAACCGCTAAACCCATGAAAACTAAGCGGTACTTTTGTGCCGGTAAAACGCAGAAGGACGCCATTTTGAAGTGAAACTCTCCAGCCGAACCGGAGGAATGCACTGCCGATTTTTGCCATGCTTGCTTCTGTTTTTAAATGTTTGTCGCAGCCTTGTATTAAAGTCTCATGATTGTCGGCCTCGTCACTGTGACAACACATCCACGGCTCCGCAGCAGGCCCAAATTAGCCCCAAGTTTATTTGTTCTGATGGTTGTTTGCAGTTTTCTGGTTCTGGATGTTTGGGAACCATATTTTTCTGGTACAGAAAGGAGCAATCCACCATGATTGGCCAATCAACAGGATGCTTCTTACCCACTAAATATCTGCTTCTGTATGACCCCAGACACAGTGGTGGACACAACTAGCCGAAATGTTGCGCTAATCCCAAAGCACTGGTGGTAAACATTCTTTCTGCTATTGCTAAAGCGCTTTATTAACATGGAAGTTAGCAGAAGCTAATGCTAAATTGCTACACCAACAAAAAATTCAATAGAAGCTAATGCTAAAGTGCTACAACAGCATGCTTAGTAGAAGCTAATATTAATGTGCCACACTAACATGGAATTTAGTAAAAACTTGCACTACACTAAGAAGGAATTAGCATAAGCTAATGCTAAAGCGCTGTACCAACAAGGAATTTAGCAGAAGGTAATGCTAAAGTGCTACAACAACATGATGCTTCGTAGAAGCTAACGCTAAAGCTCTACAACAACATGGAATTTAGCAGAAACTGGCGCTACACCCACGTGAAATTTACCAGAGGCTAATGCTAATGCACTACACCAACATAGTGTTTAGCAAAAGCTGGAGATCTAAGTCGATATTATGGCGATATCAAACTTTATTTGAAAGTTTACAAAACAGCCAACTAAATTAGTGCTTTAGAATTTAAATGAGAGGAAGCTAAGTATGCTAAATGTTTTCAAAGTTAGCTATGCTACTAGCACATTAGCATTAGTGTGCCCACCACAGCCAATAAATATCCATTAGCACGTTTCCTTATCGTAATCACGGCTGGTAGAAAATGGAACTCTGAACTAAAGGAAATATTGGGCCTTTTTATAGCCATTTATCTCCATAAGTCATGAAAATAAAGACAAATCAGCTGGAACTGAATGGTTTAGGTATTTGGGTTTGAAAGGAAAGAAGGAAGGGACAAAAAGCCTTTTCTTGGAAGGTTTTAAAGTGATGCAGAAGCCATTGGCTCAGAGATCCATTACAGGGAATTCAATTATTTTCTCGCATTTCTACTTTTGTCCTTAATTTGTTGCCTTATTTAATTTATTTCACTGGACTGAAGATGATCAAATGAAAAATCCTTCAATATTTTTCAGAAATCCTGCAAAACTTCAGATTAAGACCTTTTTAAAATGATTAGGAATCTAATTATGTAAAATACAAATGTTAAAATTTAAAGTCTTCTCAACTTTAAAACAAATTCTATTGGGATTTTAATTATGAGGTGCAAATCTCCGCAGAACGGCTTTATTAATTTAAATTCTACATAATTCTGAATATTAAGTCACCTTGAAGGTAAATTGTTTTTTTTAGGGATATCTGAGTAAAATGAGGCTGGATACAAATGCACACCACACTTTTCAGATATATTTTCCTTCCATTTCATACTGTACTACTCGATGCAGTTAAACTGAACTTTGAGTTAAAGTGGTGAGGTTTATGTTTTAAACCTTCAGAAGTCATTTAATTATTAAAAAAATGCAGAATTATAGTAGTTTTAACAAAACTGAAATTATTTGGCAAATCACAGTAAATCAATTCTAATCATTTGGGATGTGATTTAAATTTTTATTGATGAGATAATTGGTTGTGGTCGATTTCATTTAGGGGTATTGGAGTAAAGTGGGCTGAATGCCGGTGTATTTTACTGAGATTATATGTGAAAAACCAACACAAGTAATGTATAGTTGAATTGAAATCTGAAAAGTGTGGTGTGCATTTCCAGTAAAGCCAATTTACTCTCTTAGCCCAAAATAAAATGTTATTTGCACTAAAAGTAAAGGACTAATAACAAACATTAGTTCTGCTAATGCTAAAGCGCTACAACAAAACTAAATATAATGCTAAAGAGCTTAATTCAGCCGTGTTAACAAACATGTTAACAACATGATAGGGGAAGCTAAGTGTGCTAAATGTTTTCAAAGTTAGCAAAAACGACATAGGAAAAATTAACTCTGCTATTAGCATATTAGCTCAAGTGGGTCCAGATGTCAGACTTTATTCAACTGAACGTTTACAACATTAGCAATTTAGGATTCATCCAGACAAAATTTATTAAGGGGAAGCTAAAAGCACCAAGGGTTAGCAAAAACGCTTAAACCAGAAAACAAAATTAGCTCTGCTGAGCAGATTAGCTCAAGTGTCTCTCACACTGCAGATATCAAACTCTATTCAAGCAAAAGTTTACAAAACGTCCAGGCAAATTAGCGCTTTGGAATTCAACTGCATGAATATTATTAATGGTAAGATGGTAAGCAAAAACGCTAAAGTGCTAACCCAAGAATTAGCTCAATGTGTTCAGGACTGCAATGTCTAATTTTATTCAACTGAAGGTTTACAAAGCAGCACTTTAGAATTTACCTGAATAAATATTAGGAGAAGCTAAGAGTGCTAGAGGTTAGCACAGAGATGCTAAACCAAACATTAGCTTTCCTATTAGCACATTAGCGGAAGTGTTCTTACTTTTGCTAAACTCCAGGTTGTAAATGTGTGAATATGGGGGTGGGGGGGAGAGTTCAAGGGTCATGATTTTTTTTTTTTAAATTTTGGCTGCTGTGGCTAAGCTGCTGTGGAGGCGTCCATCCACCTCTTCCTGCTCTCCATCTGAAACCAAACGCCTCACTTCCTGGTTCATTTTTACTCACTTCCTGTCTATAACTCTTTATGTGCTTACTGTAAGCTGAAAAAACAATAAGAAGATGTCATACTTGTATAATAAAAGCTGAATAAACAACCTGAATTAAAACATGTGCTGTGAATGAGTGACTGGAAAGAATCAAACATTTATTACTTTAAAATGAGAAAAAAATATATATATATTATTAAAATGAACACAGGAAAGTGGGTTTAAAAGTGCAAAATGACGGTCCAGCACAGTTCAGAGTGTTTTTCTTGGTGCTACTTTTTCCACTGCTCAGGGGATTTGTTGAGGTTTCCCGCTTCCTGTTTCAGGACACTCAGGAGAGACTGGGAACTCTCCAGGATCTGCAGAGGAAAAACAATGAAAGCAGATGAAATAAAAACAGGCCAGAACATTTCCTCACATCATTTATTCCAATGTTTCTGTTCATTTAAGGGATTTTTGGAAGCAAAATGAAGAAAACTCAATTTATGTTTCTGTTAAAAAAAGCTGCACAGAGTTCTATATCCAAGCATGTTTTGTGGAAAGTTAAGTGGAAGGAAAAACTGTAAGAATTAAAGGGTAATTTTCATTCATACTTGAATTATAATACTTTCCTAATTATTTTGAAAATACATTTTCTGTCTGTTGTAATACCTATTTTGAATCCTGCATCTTATGTTTGGGTGTTTAAAAGTAAAGTTTAGTGGAAGAAAAAACTTTAACAGAATGTTTATTTAGATTTTAATGTACTTGAATATACATTTAAGTAAATTTACCGTAGATAATTATTTAAACTTTATATCTTGTGCAGTCAGCTTCATTGTCAAAAAAGCTTTAAGCATATTAGTAGAAAGTTAGTGGAAGAAAAAAATCATTCAGATTTATACTTGATTTATGATACTTTCCTCAATAATTAAGTTCATTTCCTTAAGAAATTTTCATTTTATATTTACTGTTTTGGCATTTATTTAAAAAGCTTTTTAAGAAAAGAGAACGTCTTTAGTCTAAATTCGGCCATCTTTTCTTCCTGGATTGCCTCACCTCCCCTAAACGCACCAGGAGCTGAGCGGCATTCACCATCCACAAGACGATAAAACTCAGTGTCTAATCTTAAATATCTATTGTGTTGTTTGTTTATGCTAGAAGGAGATCATTGACCAGAGCGTCATGGCTTCCTGGTCTTCCTGATGTTTTCCCAGTCAGACCAGTTCAGGAGTTTCTGTTTTCAGTAATTAGCCAGAGGACGAAGGGAGTTCAGCAATAACAAGTCAGATAAGAATTCATTTAAGGCTTTATAAGGATGTGGGGAAAAAAAACTTAAAAACTTATTTTTCCCCACTGGTATTGGCTTGGTCAAGTTTCCATTACAAAAGTACACAAAACTTTGTCAAAAAAACACAATTTTGCAATTAAAATAAAAAACCTGATATCGCAACAGACATGTAATCAATATCAATAGATAATACGTCTGATAGAATATTTAATATTCAATATTCGGAATACTGAATATAAAAATTGGTGGAATTAACTGACTCACTCACTCTCTGGTTGCCTAGCAACAACCTTCTGGGTAAGAAGCAGTTTCAAGTTCCCCTCCCAACTTTGGTTGCCTAGCAACGACCTGCTAAGTAACTGATGCAGCAGCAGTTTCAAGTTTCCTCACTGTGCCTCAAAACTGATTAAAAACTGCCAAAAAAAAAAAAAAAAAAAAAAAAACAAAAAAAGGGTTTGGGGGGGAAAAGGGGTAAAGAAGACAGAG